AAAAAAGTAACATCTCCTTTCAAGAATTATCAACTACCTGCACTGACATATCTTGTCCTAATAATCCAAAAGGGACAACTGAAATAATAAAAAGTTACCAATTTGTGAGAGTTGGTTTTGTAATATGATGATTTCACCTTTAAAATAATTAAGTTTTTAAATTATTAGCCCTCACAGTCACTATTTAGAAGTAAACTGTGTCTATTGTTCTTGAATTTCTGTTCAATTTTGTCTCATGTAGTGGGTGGGTTGCTATCAGATGTTTGGCAGACTACAATGTAAATTAAGTTTTTTAATCTATGGAAATATCCATTAATCATACACATTTCCAAACTTTAAAATGCATGCTTGAAAATTACAGTTGATTATATTCTTTGTTGTGAATTGCAGAACAAAAGCTGAAAATCCAGTCCGCTTTTCATGTATTATATCAAACAATGATGCAATTCCACCATTGTATAGAATAAAAAGTCTGTTCATGTTTGAAGAACACAGTGTCCATAAGGTTTAATCTGCAGTCTTCTGTTCAGAGAGGTTTGTAAATCGATTCTTCACTAGATGCTGTAACTCTTGTCGACTGAAGATAAATGGCTGAATTCCAAGAGAGTACAACACAAAGAAAACCATTAGCCCTGACAATTCATAAACAAAGTAAAGAATATTATTCACTCTTTGTTCTCGTAAAATAGTACCCAGGTTTCAAACACTAAAAAGGAAGCTCACATAAACCATCGCAATTATTAAGTCAAAATGAGTTTGTTTACGGACAAATGTACCAAAAGAAAAAAGGCTTGTTTCTTTATAGGAAGTAAAAAAAGGAGAAGAGGCAGGAGAAACCTGCATCATAATCCCAACAGCTATGTTAATAGGTACAGCTTTGTTTTCAGCCTTTTTTGTTTTATTATCTCAATCTTGCTGACCTATTTCTTCACTGAAAAAAAGAGTGTCTGAAGCACATCAAATGCTTCTAGGTCAGGGGTTCCCAGCGTCTGTGCACCGTGGTGACAGTCTCAGGAGATTTTCAACCAGTAAGAGTTTTCACAAATCTCTCATGAAAAAACTTTGGATTACTGGAGGGTAGGAGGGTTGGGGCTTGGTGTGGGGTTTATTTTGCACTATATACATTTGTCTTCAGCCTTTGTGAATTTGAGATTCCCTGGATCACTTGGCTGCCTAGTCCCAGAAATTAAAATATATTTTACTTTTCTTTCTGTGACATTAAAAATGCATTGCAATGAATAATATAGTAGGACTGTGTATAAAACTAAGACTTCTGCATTCCTTTTAAATGTTTGTTCTTTAGCAGAGATTCTCTGAGGGAAACTTATTGAAAGGATGAACAGTAATTTAATTTTTTATCATAAGCATTAGTGAAAATAAAGGACAAAAGTACTTTGCAGGGCTGAAGAAAAGGAAAAGATATTTATCATGGGAAAATACTGCGTCTGGGCTGAATCTCTGGCACCATGCATTCTTTTTCTGTTCAAAGAGTGGCAATAAGGAGATTAATATTTAGAGTTTAGAATCATTTCGTATTTATGTCATAAGCAGTAAGTACTAAAGTAACTTACCATGAAAGTGTGCTTAAAAAAAAAATGTATAGTCAATAGATAAAAGCAAAGCTTTTGTGAGAAATTATTTTTAAATTCTGAAAATAAATTCATTAACTACTGGGTGTCCCCAGCAATATTCTGGATGAATGTTAAAAGTTATAACAGGTCAGATCATCAAATTACACATATCAGTATTTCTGATACAGGGAAGACCTGCACTTTTAGAAGACATTCCATGAAAATTGTTCCAGGAATTTACCAAATGTTCACAGATTTGAAATATCATGCCACATCACTGCAACTTCATGGAGAAAAAATAAGTACTGCTAAACAATGAAGTAATTATTGAAGTTAAGACATGTGTAGAGCTCTTCAGTTCAGGTACCATTTATGATGTTCTTATTTGTTCATGCTCAACTTTTTCTGATATCAGCTTGAACTTGTACATAAAAAGGAGTAGATCTTTTTACACTGCCAAAAGGCAGGAAAGAAAGATAAAAGCAGTAATGTTCTTTCCCCTTCCCAAAAGAAACTATCAGTTGATAATTGAAGTCTAAAAATACAGCATCAAAACTACCAAGTATTTAATTTTCTTTGCAGATACCTCATGTGTTGCTATCCTTCATAAAAACCAACAGTTTCACTAGGTCAAATGGATTTGTTGAGGCACATACTCCCATTCCATTTCTGCCTCACAAGTGCTATTCAGCTTTGTTAATTTTTTTTTTTTTTTTTTTTTTTTTTGCCTAGAAGTTAGATAAGCTTTTTCTTCAGGACACTCTCAGACCAAGCCCAGAGATGATTTCATATTTTGCTGAGCTATGCAAAATACCCACCAATAATATTGTAGCACAGTAAATTGTCAATAAAATACTGGAGTTTCTGGAGTATCTGTTTAAAAATGCCCATCTGTAAAGCTCATCTGTAATAGTAAATCACTCATGACTGTTAAGTATGATATCAGTTTCTCCCAGTTCTAGTAGCTACACATCTCTTTCTCTCTCTCTTCCTCTCACAAAACACACAGATACAAATAAGAGAAAAGCAATTTTCCTGTTACAAATTATAAGAATTCTTTTTCCTGACATCTATCCCAAAAACATGACTATTCTCTAGCAATTTGCCAAAACATTTTGCACATACTATCCCAAAAATGAAAAGAGAACTGAGCTGCACAAGAAATCCTTCATGTAGAAGCCTTGACACAAGAATACTGGCTATGAACAGGAATATACTATGTGATGGGAATTTCTACGTGAACTGCTTCCAAAACCCAAGCTGATCTGTGATAAAAGTGCCATTTTTAAGCTGAATGAGCTTGTACAAAGTGTTACTGTATCTATTTTTGTCCTTGTTATTATTCTAAGCACACTTAAATCATTGTTTGGGGAGCAATGAAAATCATATAATATTCAAAGGCAGAAAGTATCAGTATTTAGCGCAAGCCTTTTGTCACTCTTCTCACAGCAAATGACCTGTAATAGCAATGGTGTAAAAAATGACAGTGGGTCCACCAAACTTGCAGCATTCTGTACTTCAGTTTACCAGGGCTGCACTAGCTGCAGTTTAAAGTCAGAATGACTAAGTCAGTCAAGGAAAATGTTTTACCTTCAAGGCTTTCTAGTCCGCTCCACAATATGGGGATGTGTCTCAGCCACTTTCAAAGCAATGGGAGATTTGTAGGGCAGACCTTACCAATTATGTGTAACCAGGACTGAATGCAGACTTCAGAACACCAAGACTTTCCACATAGCACATGGTATTTACATCACTGACATTTTTTGCAGCTTCCTGATATTTTGAAAATCCTCAGATTGTAATTTAGATTATTAAAACCTTAGTTTGAGAGAGCAATGGGAAAGCGAAAGTTCTCGACTGCTCTTTCTCAGAAGAAGGGTTGTGTCAAAAAAGAGGGTTTGGCTTTAAACACATCCTTGTCTAATGCAGTCTAGTATAACCACTGAGTCAAAGCTTAATACAGAAAGAAGATTTTATCCTGAATCAACTGGTATGGTGGCATATGTTATCTGTGCACATGTGTGTGTTCAGTTTATGTATGTATAGATGTGGTCATGACTTGTGTGGGCACACGCCAAGAATAGTCAAAAGCACAGTGTATATTCTAATGATGTTTAATGTCATAAGATGAAGTGAAACAGCAGAAGCAGGAAATCTCATAGCAAACTTATTCTTATGCTATGGAACTAAAAAGTCCTCTGGCAAGAAGAAGCCCAAGAAAAGAAACAGTTATACAGTTTGTATTCTTTCCTAAGATAAAAAGTGAAATCAATTTGGGAAGTAAAAATACAGGTCGCAGGAAGAACAGGAAAGGAACAAAGAGACAGAAGGAGTAGTTGCATAGAGAAATGTCAGGTAAGCCTATTTGGTGAAAGCACTTGAAAGCACTTTGAAAAATAACAATGGTCTCCGAGGATTTCTGATGGAGCAGTCTCACATTCTGTAATTTGCACTGAAGGCTCTCACATACAAGCAGCATCTTGAAATGTCACATTCTCTGATCTCTCCAGTGGATGTCCAGCTAAGCACCTGGGGATCTCACGGCAGTGAAGCTGTTAAACTTTTATCACCTGAAAAAGTAAACCTTGTCACCTTGAACAGGATTTTCCTCATGGGAATCTAGTGCTATGAATTGGAGTCAGGACTTTTCTACAATTACCATCCAAAATGTAAAACCCAAGTGTTAATATTCTGTAATGAAGACATGCAGAAGGGGAAGTACCTCCAGAAAGGTAAGGAGCATAGACAGGTAGTGTTGTTTTACAGGTCCAGAACTTTTGAATTGTCTCACATCTAACACTCTGACCCTGCCTAAGCAGCCTGACTTGCCTGCATTTCAGTTCTGTCTTCTCTAAATTAGTGCACTTTGCTGCCAAAGAGACTTTAAGACATGTAATCAATGTGTTGACCCTACCAGTCCTCTAATTGCCCAAACAAAATATTGATGCACTGAATACACACAGTTTTGAGGGTATTGCTTTTTGCAGACACTAATTTTGATATTTGATTCTAAGCTGTTGTTTGAATTTTCTCTTTTGGTAAATGCTGGTTACTTCTCTGTACATTTAAAATCCTGAACAGTTCACAGAGACAAAATAGAGCAGGACTCGGGGATAGCTGAACTGTGAGGCAAATAAGGGAAAAGGCTACAGAGTCGTGAAAAGTGATGTGGGGAAGAGATAGGTAATAAATTATTATTATTTATGCCTTATGAAACAACTAGAGAAGCATCCCTCCCAATCTTGCCCCAAGAGTCCTTTCACCAAGAATTAGGTGTAAAAAGAAGAATAAGGTGTCATCCCATGAAATGGTGGAAAATAATCAATTACTGTAACATGCTGTGCAAGATAGTAAATAATTTCAAGAGGAATTGTATTCAAGAGGAGCAGGAACTATAAAGCAGACAATTGTTTGCTTATGCATGGCATAAACTGCTGACTACCTCAAAATGAGATTATCCTGTCGGGAGAAAGCCTGCCCTACACTTAGGTTCTTTCTGACACTTTTTTTACTATGCCCCTGCCAGGTGGACATGCAGTCCTTTGCAAGGTGACCCTTAGCTCTGATCTAGTTGAACCATTCTTATATTCCCAGACTGCAGCTCTAGCTCCCACTGGAAATGAGAACAGTAACACTTTCCCTCTTTCACCTTTATAGTGCAAGGGAGAAAAAATGATGGCAAGAAAGGACAAGACTATTTGTGATTGCTGTCCTCAAGCCAGCTCAGTAATGCTTCTGGGAAAGCAAAAATGGGATGCAAGATGAATGAGAGACTGGTGCAGAAGAGGAGACAGACTGCAGAGCTGTCCCTACAGACTCTGCATGCATGAGGTGGAAGTAAGCAGTTGCTGCACAACTGGACCCATCATCTGAGTAACCTGTCATCCAAGACTCCAAATTACAGTCTAGCCCTTTAATAAGGTCCTAATGCCCTGTGGAAAAAACACAACGGTCCTTGAGTTCATTTAGTCACATGGAAAAACAAGGCTGTAATCCCTGGTGGATATAATAATCTCAGAGCAGTTCTCTAAATGTGAACTTGGTATATTCTATTATTCTGTGATTTCTACTCAAGTTAGCTCTAGAGAACAAGAGAAAAAGAAATACCACTGCAGTGGGAATCTTGACTAAGGCTAACACTAGAAATGCCAGCAGTATTCTAGTTCTGATCACAAGTGTTATTTTCCTACATGATAAGGACAGCATGAGGGAGGAAAATCATAATGCAAGTTCTTGTTCTAGTCTGATCAGGTCTGATGTCGGCAATGTCTCACAAGTACTAGAGGCACTAAATATTTTTAATAGAACTCAGAACTTTCCTGCAAAAGAAATATTTTTCCCATACAATGTCTACATTGAATGGAAATATTTAAAAGTCTGCAAACACCCTGAAAGTAAGTATCTGCATCTTTTTCTTATTTGATCTATAACACCCTTTTTCTGAGTTCACCAAATGATATTTTGATGGATTTTGTTTAGAGTTTTGGGGGGTTTTGGTTTTATTTAACAAATTTTATTTTTGCTTTAATGCCGGTAGCAAAACTTTATGTATCGCATTATACCTCTTATTTTCTCTGGCTGTTTTCTCTGATTTACATAGAAAGGGGGAGAGTAAAACAGTTAAACTCTTCGGTAGGTCACTGTTAAGCAGTAAAGTAACTGATTTCAAATCTGGAATAAGTTCCAGATGGCTGCTTCTTTGAAGTTCAGCAAAGAATGTTTGCAGCGGCGGTGGATTGATCATCCCTTCGCTGGAAGGACGCGGCGCTTCGTTGTTGCTGATCAACAGCGCCACTTTCTGCTGAAAGAGAATCATGACATCCCGCGGAGAGGCAAACTGGCAAGCCGATTTCAGCGACTTGATGCAAATCACAGACCTGCCCCCTCAGGAGCTGGCTGGTTGTATAAGAAACTTCTTCATCAAAATATGCAAAGTGGTTTCCACAAATGTTGCAGTCTGATAACCAGGCCTGATGCTTTCATGGAAAGGGAAAAATGCATGTTTGCCTTAAAGTTTTGTTCAAACAATTTTATTCTTATTTCCCCACCAGCATTGCCATCATCTTGACCATTCATGCACCACAACCTTATGCCCGTAGTCTGATGGATGACGTAAATGCTGCGATTTATGCATAAAATAAAATCTTGGGAAGACTACATTATTTCATGTCATTGCCTATTTCAATAAATGCTCATGTGAGTTCACGCAGATTCTTCAAGGAAACAGGCACTTTAAAAATATTTTCTTGTATAATCCAGTGGGTATTGATAACTACTGAAGCTCACAAACTATCTAGCAGGACAGCCAGAGAAGTCACTGTCTTTACTGCCTGGTTCTGCTTAGGGAAAAACAAACAAACAAAGAAACAAAACAAAACAAAACAAAACAAAACCTATGCTGAATTTATATTTTAGGTATTCTTCGTAACTACTTCTGACGTCAACTCTTCACACTTTTGCTGGCAGCAAATTAAATGGTACAGAAGTCTGACGTACCTAGGAAAACTGCCGAAACTGCTTTTTAAACATTGTTGTTACTAACATACATTTAAGTATCTCCAAAGTAAGGAAACAGGGAGCAAATAATGCCACCCTTATGCTTATATATATTTTACATATATATATATATATATAATATATATATATTTTTATATATATATATGTATATTTATGTAGCTGAATGCCTAACAAGGCTTCAAAAATATGCTGCAGAGAAAGCTGAAAATAAATATTGTTTTTTTTCAAAATCTTTCTTAAACTCTGTGAAATAAATACAGCACAGTAGTGTCATATGCATGACACTGAAGGATCGTGAATTTGGCACTTAAGTGCCAAAGGCTTCACTGCATTTTCTGAGGAAGGAAAGTTCAAAGAACACCATAATCTGGTAACCACCAAGCAGAACCCTCCACTGGCAAAGTTGTTTACACCTGCATATTGAAATTCAGTCCTAAAACTGTTTCGCATGCATTTCTCTGGTACAAGCATTAGGGTTCATTGAAAGACTTATGTTTTTTGAAATCTGTCACACACTGTGTTCAGCTCTCACCATAGATTCTCTAGAATAAAGCAGATAATGCTGCTGTTTCTTGGATCTCCCCTTACATTAACTGAAGTATTTGTTACACTCATTGCCATTTTCTGTTTCCTGGCTTTCAAGAGCAGTATTAGAAGAAGTGGGGGTGTATTATCTACCGGGACTTTATATTTTCAAACGTCTAGGATGCTCTCACATTGTCTGCTTCCCACATAAAGAGAAACTTTTCTCCCCACAATCAATATCTGAACAAGTGCTATCCAGCACAAACATCTATAGTCTAGACATTAAAGCAAACCTTTCAGCAGTGTATCCTGATTTCTGTTATGTAGCATGACCGTGGCAGTTTATTAAAGAATCTCTTTCAGTCTCCAAGTTAATGCTTTCTAGCACAAATCCCAGACTTTGGAGGCTCTCTTCCCTGCAACAGAAGGCATATGGCAAAGGATCAAGCAAGTAAGAGGTCTAGATAGGGACAGAAGAATGTGACTCAAAACTGCTAATGATTATCTAACAGGATCTGTAATCAAGCACTGCAAAGGAGAGACCACAAACCCTCTGAAATGAGGGATGAGCAATAACCATCCCCAGCAAGACAAGGTAAAAAGAAAGGCAGCCTTACAACTGTTCTTAAAGACTTTTGCTCTTAGGGAAAAGCAAAGTGTGTGAAAGTCCAGTAACAAAAGCAAATACCATCTTCCCTGTGTGAAGCCAAGTAAAGCCCTACCCAGTAGCAAAACCTTTCCTACAGGATTCCAGAGGTTTTGTTTTACAGCTGCATTTGGTTCATTTAGCTATAATGCCTCTCCACACATCAGTACCTACCTCCTTCACCAAAGTATAAAAAGGAGTTGAGGGACTTAATACCTAATCCTGCCACAACTTTCAGAGCCATAGCAAGGAGGTGAGTGAGGAACCTACTGTCTTGAAATTACTGTCTAAGAGAGCAAAAGCTCTCCTAGTGTGTTTTCAGGGATTTTCCAGTTGTTTGCAGGCTGTGTAGTGTTTTGCTATACAACCAAAATAATGCTGTGATTTCTGGTCCTTCCAGGATTCTTTACATAACAAGGCATAGCAGAATCTGGCCTCTACTTGTTATTTTTAATGTCATTTAAGTGCATGGCGAAGATATGCAAGTGAACTATTTAGTATTTTCTTTGCAAGGACAGAAGAGCTAAAGATGGTGATTACAAATCACTCTGGGGCACGCCTATAAACTCCAAGTAATCCATTGAAGGGAGATAATGCTAACATATAATGGGAGCAAGGAGATCAGTATTCCCTTTTCTCTGTAATACCAGGAAACATCAATATTCATGGCTCTGCTAATACAATGTGCGTTGTTTAGCAAAGTCAGAACAAGGCAAAAAAAGAAGATTAGAAACCCATGAAAGCATGTCCTGTACACCGACTGGATGGAAAACGCTTTTGTGCTGCAGTCGAGCAGCAAAAATCCAGAGACTTGTTTCATTACTACCGAACTTGAATGTCAAAATCAGAATTTCTATCACTTTGGAGATAATTCTTACCAGAAAACCTGGCTTTGCTAGCACATACAGTAGTCTTTGCTTCTTGGAGTTTCACAGGCTGTTTTTCCTACTAATAATTGAAGTCTAGTATGTTACAAAAGCCTGCTAAAATTTTTTCTCCTTACACTTAATAGTTTTAAACTTAAAGTTTTAAACTCCTTAAACTTAAAACTTTTCTCCTAAGAAAACTCTTCTTCCTACCAGTCCTCTAATTGCCCAAACAAAATACAGCTGCACAAAATACTTGGAGGTGGCTTGCAGCAGAGCAAACATCACCACCCTTGGGCTGGCATAGGCTTGTAGGAGCTTTGGCTGTGAAGCAGGTAACAGCTCTTTAGAGCCCAAATCCACAGTTTTGGCATCTGTAACACAGCACAGCTGTGCAAAAGGCTCTGTTCACGCAGAATTTTAACACTTTCAAAGGATGAATCCAAAAATTTATTTTTTTCTCCTCCCTTGCAGGCCTAACTGGATATTACATCTGTTAATGCCCTGTAAGCCTCTTTTTAGTCTGCTAAGTGTCATATGTATTTTCTATGCCCTTATATTGTTTTTTTGTTCACATATATTTGCTGGCACTTTTAATGCCCTTTTTATGTTATAATTTCCAGCTTCCTTTCTCTGATACTTGGTGAATAAGGTTATATTCCTCTTTCACAGAAAGGGAAACTGTGTCAGTATAGATCCATGAACCATGTGGGAAAATAAATTTTTATTTGTTTAAGTTCAGCACTTAGCAGGAGTCAAGTAATGTGGAGTTAGGGGAAATTCACATCTTGAAATGTGGATTGAGTCTATAAAACCATTAAAATTTATTTTCCGTTGGAGAATTGAGAGGTTAAGCCATTAACTTTGCGAATTTGCAGAGGTTTCCCAGAAGCTTAGTCAAATCTAGTGTTTGTATCATGTTAAATCTATTCTACTTATTACCCTAATAGCATAAATGACCACTCATGCAATGGAGAGTGACAAGATTTTCCTAACAGTACCTCTGAAAACTCAGGGTTACTTTGAAACTAGCTAACCTAGAGAAATAACTCTATTAAAACAATATGAGTTTTCTGAAGCTTGTATTCTCTTAGGGACTTTTCCAGTTATTTGGGTTTATGCATAAACAGACAGACAATCCATAACAACCTTTCAGTGGTAAACACAGGGGAGTCTCCAGGAGTTTGGCTTTTTGTGGTGTGTGTTGTTTTGTTTTTGTTTTGTTTAACAAGGCAATAATAATGAACATAGCAGGCATCCTAAAGGACAGTGATGATGAGCATGGAAACTCTAGTTTTCTTATAAATATTTTGAATATTAAAAAAATAAATAAGTCTTTGGAATGTTGATTTATTTTTATTACCTTTTTTTGGGGTGTCTGGGCACTATACTCACTTCCTATGAAAATTCAAAAAAAAACCACTAGTTGTTTCATATTCCACTGGTCGAATCAGACGAGCACAATCCAAATAATGTTGTGTATCAACAGGGACCCCTCTGTCAGTGACCACCAAAGCAGCAACAAAATACAGGAAAAGTTCTGCACACGATTAGCTACATTGGGGAGGTAAAAGACTGTTCCAAATTAAAGAGGCTATATAGTTCTTCACATTCAAGTGCTTCATACTAGAGGTCTGAGAGATACAAAAGGAGTCTATGTGCTCAGTCAATGTATTTATGAACTTAAATAATTACTTTAGAATTTGTAACATAGATTTTTTTTTTTGGTCTAGAAGAAGGGAATGTGAGAAAAGTTTAGAAAATATTTCATCCCATTTAAACCTTAGAAACCTTGACTTAAATCAAGGTCCTTAGAAATTAAAAGATTTGTTCCAGAGTATTGTGAAGACAATAGGAGTCTTTTTTTTTCCACCTAAAGAACTTGAACCCATAATCAGACTGGCTGCAAATTTCTCTGAGAACAGGGCTGTAGGCCAGTTGTTTGTCTGAAGATCCCATTTGTAAATGGGAGGCCAAAAAAAAATTATATACTTCAAAAAATGACCTTTTTTTAAGCCTATGTGTCAAAGCTAATTCTTAATCTTTTTAAGACCGAATATGTAACTTTGCATTACAGCATCTTTGATAAGGTGAGTTAAGGCTGCAGAAAGCTCATCTAAAATTGTCTAGAAGTGTAGCATCTGAAACCACTCAGGTTGCTAGGGTATTTCAATTACATTTATTTTGAAGTAATTATTTCTTTTCTATAGTAATGCAGAGTGCATAATTGTACTTTTGCATCCAGCTGTGGCTTAATGGCAGCAATATGTGCTGGTAGCAAACAGGGAAAGAGAATTTATTGATGGAGTAGAAGGTATTTGTTATGTTGTACCTCCCTCAGCATTTTTCTCAGCAAGGTAGAATTAATGGGGGATTGCATGACCTCTAAAAGTGCCTGAACTCCACTACATTCTGAAAAGATCATTGTCCAGAAGGCTGTTTAAGATAATTTCCTTAAAAGGCCATTGGCAAGTGCCTAAAACCTCTATTGATCCTGGTCCAGCAGGAA